AGTTGTCAAAGGCTTCAGAGGACTTGAGTCATGTGAACCACTTTATGATACTTTTATGAAGCTCTTGCGTCTTTTTGGGCTTGAAAGCTACAGTCCTCATTTGTTGTAATTGTATGAATAGATGACAAATACATTTCTTCAGAATTTCTGTTTTTGAGCTCTTTCGCAGAAAGAAAGTCATGCGGGAACAACATGAGCCAGTGTAAATGACAGAATGACAATATTCATTATTGGGTATATCCTTTTAAACTTAAAACACACAATCCAGATCACTTACTGGAACTTCTCAGCAGAAATAGGGAAGAATGTCAGGGCTGGGAACTGATAGACAGTTAGGTGTACCTGAGATCTGGAGACAGCGACGTTGATAACAATCAGCCATCATTGAAGGCAGTGTGCAATAATGCATAAGACTCCTGACCATGTGGGTATGGCCATCTTTCCCTGTAATCACAACAACCATTGACGTTTGGGTCTCACACAGATTCCCATCAGTGATATCCTGACCTCCGAGTGGTAAAGAGAACACAATGAGACTGCATGACTCAGCTTCAACCCACTGAGTTATCATTTATCTGTCTTATTGATCGTCACAGTGCAGCGTACGTGTGTGTATGTTTGTTTCAGATAAAGAGCTATGTTCAGTAAAGAGCTTTTTCTCCAGTGGGTTCCTGTTTTTATCTTATGGGGAACATAGTATTCCCCTGGGTTTGTATGGTTATGTCTGAGTGAGAGGGTGAAGGAGTCAAAAGAAAAAGAGGGTGTCTGCTCTATTTTTTACCAATTCAAAATCGTCAGTACAGTGAAAATAGCTAGCATTAGTAAGGAATTGCCAAGGCATTAAAGTAAATCCACTCTTCTGGCTGCCTCAGTCATACCTGTGCTCTGTAGTCCCAGTTTACGATTCCACCATAACCAAAGGCAATGTTACATTTTTGCTGTTCAGTCAAGTGTTGTAAGGCATGAAGCTCCAATATTTCATTCAGGCTTGAGTCCAGATATATAGAGGCCTCTCAAGTTTTGAAGACAGGCAGGAGTTGGGGGCAATTTGCATCCATGGCTAGGATAATTTTAAAATATGATTATCTAACAGCATTCAAATGGTCATTGTTTGTGTCAAAAAAGTTGTTGAACATTTGTTGAAAATTATAACAGGAGATCATGACTTACTCTGCCCAAAGTAATACTCCGAGCTCCAGTGGTTTCCTCTGTGGGTGAAGGAAACTTTTGGAAGATGTTGTTGCAGAATCACGTGAACAATTCCAGGAAATGCTTTTTTATTGTTTGTTGCGTTAAATCTTACCCAGACACAGACCTAGGACACGCTGGAGGGACTATGTCTCCCGACTGGCCTGGGAACACCTCAGTGTCCCCCCAGGAAGAGCTGGGCGGAAGTCTGGGCATCTCTGCTTAGACTGCTGCCCCCGCGACCCGGCCCAGGTTAAGCGGAAGAAGATGGATGGATGGCTAACGATTGCGTCATAACGAATCGACTCTCCGTCGCACAGTAGAGAAATTACCGTATAGACAGGAGGAGAAGCTTGCAGGCAATCGGGGGACGTGGAGGCATAAAGTCCGATAAAGTCGAGGAAGAAGCCCATAGAGAGTAATAAAGTTGACCCTGCTGCTAGCTCATGGACAGCTAATACTCACTCTCTCCGTCTCTGTGAGAATCGGAAGGGAATTATAGATTTCAGTCGGCACAGCTACTAGAAGACATAGAGGTTGTTCAAGTGACAGGCTCAGTTTGCGTGTTCCCGGGGCGGGGTTTATGTACATTTTGGGGTTGCTCATGTCACTAACCCAGGTGGAATGTCGTATAGTCTTTACCAGCCATTTGTTGTAGTCCTTTTCTTTAAAAGCAAATATCTTCCTTTGCTTTGAACTTTGAGTTTGAGTGTTGTAACTTTGATACTGTTGTTTATGCTTAAACAGCAACATTTCACACTAACTAAAGTTAGAAAAGTGAAATCATACTTTACCACTGCTTTAAAAGCAATTTTGAGCGTGGCATGGTTGTTGGTGCCAGACAGGCCGGTCTGAGTATTTTACAATCTGCTCATTTACAGGGATTTTCACGCACAACCATTTCTAGGGTTTACAAAGAATGGCGTGAAATGGGAAAACATCCAGTATGCGGCAGTCCTGTGAGCGAAAATGCCTTGTTGTTGCTAGAGGTCAGAGGAGAATGGGCTGACTGATTCAAGCTGATAGAAAAGCAACTTTGACTGAAATAACCACTCGTTACAACCGAGGTATGCAGCAAAGCATTTGTAAAGCCACGACACGCAACCTTGAGGCGGATGGGCTACAACAGCAGAAGACCGCACCGGGTACCACTCGTCTCCACTACAAATAGGAAAAAAAGGCGACAATTAGCAAGAGCTCACCTAAATTGGACAGTTGAAGATTGGAAAAATGTTGCCTGGTCTGATGAGTCTCGATTTCTGTTGAAACATTCAGATGGTAGAGTCAGAATTTGGCATAAACAGAATGAGAACATGGATCCATCATGCCTTGTTACCACTGTGCAGGCTGCTGCTGGTGGTGTAATGGCGTGGGGGATGTTTTCTTGGCACACTTAAGCCTCTTAGTGCCAATTGGGCATCATTTAAATGCCACAGCCTACCTGAGCATTGTTTCTGACCATGTCCATCCCTTTATGGCCAGCAGGATAATGCATTAATGATTGAGCAGGATAATGGATAATGATTCAAAGACTCACTCATAAAGACTTCACTTATTTAATTGCTGAATGAATCAGCTTTTTTAACAAATCGAAGGAATGATTCAGTGACAAATGCATATTTAATAATCACTTGTCACCACCTGAATCCTATACATGACAACTGCTCTCTCTGGGTCGTAAACGCAGATTTAAATGTTCCGCTCTGACCCTACAGGTTTAATAGACATAGCCGAATCGTTATCATTTAGGAATTCATGTGGGAGTTTGAATCAAGATGGTGATGTTTTAACGGTTAATCATGAATATATATAATTATATGTATATACAGGCAAAACTATTCAAAAGTTCAAACAGTACACAGACCCAAAAGCTCCATAAAGTATCATAAAACTATATATATATATATATATATACACACACACAATTATATACTATCATATTTTCTATATTAACAAAATAAATTAAATTAAACTATGCAAAACAAATAGTTAAATGTTTGTCAACAAGCCGCATAATTTGAGGTTTCATTTATATCTGTGGCAGAAATGATGCGGTGTGTGTGTGCTGAAGATAATACAAAGGTTAAGGGGTTTATTGAAATCTTGAACCACAAGTATGAGCTTTAGAAATATTGATGCTTGCCTTAGCAAAAAACACTAAAAGTGTAGGGCTTGGACTCTAGGAGCAGGACTGAGAAATGCTGCACTATGCTACGACTTTTAAATGGGATTTTCCTTCTCTCAAAATAACACAAAATCCATTGAGCGAAATACAGCCTTATGCTGTATGGCTTTTTTCTGCTATGTTTCAGGCAAAGCTTGTCGGCAGGAAACAGGCTTTCATTCCTGAGGATAGAACAATATGTTGGCGTAAGCATGTTTGCTTTTAGGAAACATGCTAATTGTGTAAAATGTCCCAGGTGCTATGTAGATGCATGTGAATATCTTCAGTGTGAAGATTGTGCAGCCATGCATGGGTGTTTTGCAAATTCAAGTGGGAAAGACTGCAACACCACAAGTCTGAGCAAGCTCTCCTGCACTAATTAATACTGCCTCATTAAAACGGCTCCTCTTTTGTAATTCATTGAGTTGACAGTGTTGGGAAACTGCCTACCTCAATAAGAGCCCTGTACGAGGCCTCTTTTATTAAACTGCAGTAAATTGCTGAACCTTTATTCTGGCAGGGATGTGGAGCAAAAGAGAACTGCAGGAAACTGGCAATACAGATGGGGGTCTTTGGAATCTACGGTTTAAAAGTTCAAGGTTGTTAATCTTTTTTTTTTTTTTTTGAAATATTATTAATATTTCAAAGAAATGTTTATTTTAAAATGCAAATTATTCCTGTGATGGCAAAGCTGAATTTTCAGCATCATTACTCCAGTCTTCAGTGTCACATGATCCTTCAGAAATCTTTCGAATATGCTGATTTAGTGCTCAGGTAACATTTCTCATTATTATCAATGTTGAAAACAGTTTTGCCGCTTAATATTTGAGTACATTTTTTGAGTACAACTGCAATACATTTTTTTCAAGATTATTTGATGAATATAAAGTTAAAGATTACAGCATTTATTTGAAATATTATTTGTAACATTTAGTCAATTTTTGTTCCATTTAATGCATCCCAGCTAAATTTTTAAAAATTATTTTCCTTGCGTACATTTAAAAAAAGAGTTCAAATCTTACGGACCACAAACTTTTGAACATCAGTGTAGATTATTATATCCATGTTATTGTCAATAATGACTGATATTAAACTTTTGTCTATAAAAATTAAAAAAATAAACACAAAAATAAAAATTTCAAAAGAACAGCTCTCATTTATTTACTTTTTTTTTTTTTTTTTTACAGGTGCATAAATCCAGAGGCAAACTTTCGAATTCCTCAGTAATGATATCCGATTCCACACTAACCTAAAAGCTGCAATACACTGTTAACAGTCTGAAAGGAAGTGCTGCCATCTAATGGTCGGTAACACTTTCTTCAAGGATTTGATTCTTTCATGAAGTTGGAGCATCTAGGCACTACTGTTGTGCGAATGAGCGGGCCAGAGCGCGTTGGGTTTTCTGTTAGAACGACCCCCCGTGTAAGTGGCCCCTAAGTTAATGACTAATGATCTTTGTAACGGAAGTGAAGCGATCAAAACTAACTTTAGCTGGACAATCACTTTATTCTAGCTGCTGTAAAACCAAAATAATCTGTTACTTTAATTTCCTATTATCACTGAGTCCATATTGTTAAAAGCGCTATATAAATAAAGGTGACTTGACTATTCAGAAAAAAAAAGCCCATGAAATAAAGACACAAGGTCATAAGACATTAACATTTTATTGTGAGAAACATGAAAATTATTCATTCCCTCCAGAGCTTTTAAGTCACAGTCTCCCGTGATCCTTGGCGGACAATCATCAGCTCAAATTACATTTGACAAAAAACATCAACAACGTCTTTCTACTCATTCTACCTAATACATAAAACACTCATCCTTGCACTCAATGCTAGATTCAAGATCTTTTTGTAACGTTTCAAATTCAAGTTTAGGTTTGTTTTCCCTGCTACATATCATGTGGACTTTAAGGCAGAGATTTATTTTTAATTAAGTTTCACCCAATCACATCTCTGCCTCAGGCATAAGAAGACAAGGGAAATGAGGATGGTTATACACAAACACAAGGACAAGGATTGTCTTAACATGGAGCACAGAAATGATAACACATGCCATCAGAACCACACCCTCTGATGAATAATCATTATTATTTATCTGTAATTAATTGTAATAATTTTCATGTTTTTTAAATTTGATGACTTTAGACTTTTATTATATGCTTTAAATGACCTACATCCATAATTAATTTATCAAAGAATATCTATGACAATTTTTTTAATGCTTCGGAGGGAATTTTCACGGTGGAAAATCCATATTTTCAATAACAAAGAAATCATTGGCAAAGCTTCAATTTGAAAAGCACATTTTAAAGAGAAATATTGTGCATTATAGGCATTACATTCAGAGACGTTTCATCAGAATTCACATAATTCTCCTCACTGCGTTCGCGCTATAAACCCTGAACGTTTCTCTCTATATTGTACCACAAATGTACTGTAAACACTATTTTTTGCAAACTTTTTGACCACGTTACTATATGCAATTATACTCCTTTTTGCAAGTGACTTCACAACAAACAGTAGATTCCACATGAAACAAACCTCTGATCCTGTAACAAAGCCCAATGCAGTACAAAAAAATATGCCCAATTTCCATAATACATCTTTATTGATTGTTTTTCACCTTTCAGCAAAGCCACATATCTAGTCTCTCTCTGAACTATAACCCGTATATCTTAATATCTATACATGATTTATGTCAACCTATGGCCTCATCACAATTTAAGTTCACACTTCCTCATTAAATGTCAGTTGTGTTGCCTTGCTCTTTTACGTCAAATGTGCAAGCTATGAAATATATGTGATATGTATGACTTTAATATAGAAACCAATAAAGCAGCAGCTTCAATATATATATATATATATATATATATATATTTTTTTTTTTTTTTTTTTTAAAGAGAGTTACACAGGAAATCATCTGTATATCACATATATATATTATATATAGGTAGATGACAAGGGCATTTGCGAGCATTTGCTCCATTCCTGATTCATTTCAATATCTCTCTCACCATTCAAGCGGACTTTTAGTTCTCCAACCTTTCTGGAGTTATTAAGACCTAAAGAGCGTTTCACTCCCATGTCTATCTGTGGTTACACCCTGCAGTGTTTTCTCTTGGGAGGTCCATTACTTACTACACAAACACAAAAGCCAGCCAAACTCCAGCACTGTGCTTTACTGTTCATGTGATCTCTGGCACCCAACTGGAACACAATTGAAGGTTTCTGGACACATCTAAAGGCATTTACATGCATTTCAACATATGGCTTCCCTGCAGAGTTAAGTTTTTTTCTCCAGGGTTGCTGGTGGGGGAGAGAAATGAAGGCTTCGAAACAATTTTGGCACTTTTCTCACAGTCTAGTGTTCACTGACTGTGACATTATTATAGCATACAAAAAAATTAAGGCAGCATGAAATGATCCCTGACAGACACCAATCTCTTCTATGCAGTCTGTTATGGAAAGAAATCTCTGTGCTTTCTGAAAGAGTTAGAAGGGGCCTCGAGGCTCTATTTGAGCAGCTTTGATGATATTGCTTGAGGAAAAAGTAGGCCTTCATCCTGGTGTCATCAATTTTATTTTGATCACCAGGCTGAATTAAAATTTTGGATGACTCATAACTACAAGATATACTTGAACTGACTTTTGCTATTCTCGCATCTAAGTCAAATTCACTAATCTATAAATTGGATATGCATCTTTTATCATCCAGAAAACTGGAATCTTCCTTTTCACACCTATTAAAATGACACAAGTCAGTTCCTCATGGTCTGATACATGTGAGCAATTTTCCATGAAATCTAGACAGTATTCACATACAAAAAATCACTTCCAATCTGTTTCATAACCAACTTTTTAGATTTATCATAATATAAATTTGGCATTGTAGTATTATAAATGCTTGTTTCTGAGTAACTGAGAAATAAACAATCTTAAAAGTCAATTATTTGCTCACTGTACTGTAGGTGTTCTCTGGCTTAAACGGAAAGAGAAATAAAACAAGACAAGGAAACAACAGTCTCCTTATTGTAAATCAGCAGCCATGGCTATTTCATTTAGTTCATATATACTGGCTCTCTTTGTTTTTTGGGAAGTTTATACAAACATGTAACACATATAATTAGTATCCCAATGAGCATTTCAACACAGTTAAGCTCAAATGCTGCTTAGTAACTGAATCTTTGTAAACAAGAGCCACTTTTTCCAGTGGCAGAGATCCAGATTCATATGAACAGGATCCTAAAAAATCTCTTGCTTGCCATCTCCATTATTCTCTCAAATGTCATCGCCATTAAAGTGAAAGAGTCAGCAGGAGATAGATATAGAGTGTATGAAATCGAGATCGCTCACAATTTCTTCAATGCTCAGAGTCAGTCAGAATTTCAGTAAATTGCACAGATCTGGAATGACACACACTCATGCATATCAGTTCAACCAAAGTGCACTTTTCCTACATTTACACTAAAACATTCCCATCAAAAAGAAGGAATAAAAAACATTAATAAAAAGAAAAGCCATTGGCCACAATGCCATCTAATCCACACCTCATCAAAAAAGTTAGAAGAAGAGAAAAAAAATTGGAAAATGTTGAATATTTGAATATTGAAACACAGCCTGTTCTTTCCTCAAATTGTCTTATGCACTTATAATATTAGAGCCCACGGCTGTGGAAGTTAATAGACAGTGTATATATATATGGCTACAAATTAAGAATTAGTTCCCTCGCTTTATTAAATTGTGGCCACGTTAATTGAACCATGATTTAGTAAAACAAAGGAACAAATTCTAACGCACATGCTGACATATTAGTAAATTGTGAGAAGTTCTGGGAATGAATTGTTAATTCATGTCTAAAAAAAATCCCCTCATGACGTGTGGGGCTCCATAGTATTGCAGTTTGGACGGTGGGAGAAAAAATAAATCGCCCGTCAGACAATATTCATAAATGAGAACGTGCTTACAAACAATCGCTCATGTGTCAGCTCCGAAGGACTAATAAAAACACCACGTCATGCAATCACAGACACACTGACTGGAAAGCACAATGATACCAGGAACACTACCTACCACAACTGGAAAACTTTAAATAATGTTTGTTAAATAATGACTTGGAAAATCACTCACTATTGTTGTATAGTCACAAATAGCTGAAACAATTGACTTGTCTGCAGAAGGCATTTCAGATTTAACAAAAAGTCAACAAGAGCCTTTCTAATATTAAATGGTGTGCTACACAATTTGTGTTACTGTATTTAAGATAGTAAGGTAACACAGTGGTATGTTTTACAATAATATTATTACAATAACAGAATTACTAATCCGTGTGTTAGGGCAGTCCAGCTTAAGGAAGATACAGAGTAGATCATTTGCTCCTGAATCTTTACAAATGTGTGCTATGAAAGTTTGATTTGTGTGATATACCATATATCACACATTTTAAGACTTGAGCAGTTTCAGAAGAAGTCAAGAAGTCCACTTTTAGACACAACTAATATTATACTTTGGAATTCAAGATGGAAATTGTAAAACAACAGTATATGGTCGAATAAAGCTCTCCAGAGAGATCTTGACAAACATTTTGGTAGAGACACAGATTGTGGCTTTTGTGTTAAACATGGAGTCTCGTTCCATTCAACCCTGAATAAGCAAAGAAAAGTCACTTAAGAATGATCTACCCACTCTGTCGTGTTTGTGCTTTTTCGGCAGATGCTGATGGATTTCCGTCTTCGCTTTAAATGCGGTTAAACAGCTTTCATGGTCAAGTCGAACATAAATGTTAACCACGGCACAGTGCATGCAGGCCAGTGTGTTTCGCCAGTAGTTTATAAATATGTGCATAATTACTATTCCCAACATACCAACTAACAACGGAAGAAAGCAGGCCACAAAATCTGCAGATTTTGCAATTGTAGACATTCAAAGAGCATGTAAACCTAGTCTCTAAAGTGATCTGTTGTTTACAAGGCAGTGTAAACCAAAGCAGTGCATCAATACCACTGCCAAAAAATTCAAAAATTAAAATGACAACGTATGGAAGCAGAAGTATTGAATGTCTGGCAACCAGCTATCACCCGGTAAATATAATTGGTTTGATATTTTAGTAAAAAAGTAGGAAGCAGGCACTAAAACTTTTCCCCTTGTTTTGTCCAAGATAATTGCATGTGTGCCTTTTTTTCACAACAATTTTGATCTTAGTGACATAAAGGTAGCACAATAGATTAATACACACAACGTGATCTTAAAAGCAGTCACATTACATGTTTGTAAGGTAATTTACACTTTTTGTGTGGAGATGTGTGTGCAACCTTACTGCACCGTTTGGTATAAGTAACCTCTCTTATAGGCACTCAGTGGATAAAACGTAGCGACCACAAACTTGCCATCAAATGTGCGGCCTGTCAGCAGTCTTTGGGCTTCTTTGGAGTCTCCAGCATTTGCATACTCCACAAACACCTGCCAAGACGAGATTAATGATGAGTCTTTAAATTCATTGTATCATTTTTATTTATTTTTTTGCTAACATCATTATTGTAATAGGATGTAAATCGTCCTGCTACAAATTCAATGAATAACTTATTTCTGATTTGATTTCTTCTGTTACTGTTGAATCGGTTCAGAAAGCAATGTGGGATTGTGTCAAAAATGGAAAAAATCTACAGTTGTGGTCAGAATTATTGGCACCCCTGGTAATTATGATCAAGGAAAGCTGTAAAAATATTGAACCTTTCATTGAAGTAAAAGAATTGAAATCACATTATGAAGTAAATGCTTTTCTCCAAAACAAGTCAGCCGTAATTATTAGCTCCCTATTATTCAATACTTTTTGCAACCTCCCTTGCCAAGATAACAGCTCTGAGTTTGAGAACACCTGACAAGGTATCAGAGACCATTCCTTCATACAGAAACTCTCCAGATGCTTCAGATTCCCAGAGCTTCTCTACAGTTCAGCCCACTCATTAGGGTTCAGTTTAGGGGACTGGGCATGGCAGAAGCTTCATTATGTGCTCAGTGACACGTTGTTTGTTTTGGATCGTTGTCCTGATTCAAGATCCAACCACGGCCCATTATACAATTTCAAGCAGAGGCAGTCAGGTTTAGATTTTTGTATCTGTTAGTATTTGCTAGAATCCATAATAGCGTGAATCTGAACAAGATGCCCAGGACGTTCAGCAAAAAAATAGGCCCACATCATTAAAGATCCAGCAGTATATTTAGCCTGGACATGAGGTACTTTTTATCCCTGTTTGTACTAAACCCATCTTGCTGCCAAAGAGTTAGATTAGTTTCATCAGACCATAGAAGCAGGTTGCTTTTTAAGTTCCAGTCATGTCTGACAACTAAATATGCTGGAGTTTGTCTTTGGATGGGCAAGGAAGATTTTTCTTGAAACCTTCCCAAACAACACATGTGGTAGTCTAGGGGTTGGTTGTTTGATTCTTGGGCTTTCTGACCTCAAGACTCAACTAATCTTTGCAATTCTTCATCTGTGACCCTTGGAAAGTCTTTGGCCATTAAACCTTTCCTCTTCACTGTGCATTAGGATGTTATAGACACATGTTTTCTTCCTGGCAGATTTGTAACATCTTTAGTTGTTTGGAACTTCTTTATTATTTCCCTGATGATGGAAATGTGGATTTTCAATTCTTTAGCTATTTTCTTAGTCACTTTCTATTTTGTGAAGCTCAACATCTTTTGCTGCATTCTTTGGTTTTAATCATTGTAATGGATGATTAACGAAATTTGACCTATGTGTTTCCGCATAATCATACTCCCGTGAAACAAGAAGTCATTGCTAGATTATTTCATGTTCCTACTCACCTGGTGTGCTAAAAAATAATAATGTTAAAGTAATTATTTTTTAAGAACACACCTGCTCCAAAAATTCCTAATAGAATTTTTGTTTAAAGGTAGCAACATTTGTCGTAGCCATTTATAAAAAGAAAAATATATAATTCAGATGTAATATATCCTGTAAAAAAAAACCATTAAATGTAATTGAATATACTTCAGAGATATTTTGACTCATAAAAATTCTAGGGGTGCAAATAATTATGGCCAACGTGTTTTGAAGAAAAACATTTGTCATAATGTGATTTTCCCCCGCTTTCAATCCTTAATCTTATTATTCAGTTACATAATAGTAATATAATACATATAATACTTTTTTATTGAATGATATTAATATATTTGAGTGGTCTATAAATAATAAAACACAAAGACAATACATAGACAAGTCATTCTATTGCACATACAGTAGTGGCCAAAAGTGATGTCCTGCACAGGAAAATTTACATCTTCACACTTTATTAAAATATTATAAAGTGATATGTAAAAGATTTTGTAATCACATTGCGTAGTTGTGCTTGGTTTCAATTGGTTTATTACTGATAACGCAATGAAACATGCAATGTTGTCTGGACATAATTTTTGAACAGGCTGTCAGACTAAGAAATTATAAAACAACAAAATATTAATAACTGATTATTTTGTAGTCGATGTATGCTTTTATTCCTGTGAGCATTTTGTTTATCTATGCTTTTTTGTCCTTAGTAAAATAAAACTTGTAGCTGTAGTTTTTCATTTAAATGTTGTCAGATAAACAATAAATGTTTTCTTCCCTCATATTTAAAACATTTAAATATATATATAAATATTTTTCCTCGTTTTATGGTTTAATTAAGCTTGTAGAGTCATTAAAAACAAACACCTCCTCTGGACATCAATTTTGGCCACTATTGTAATCACTATTGAGTGACCAGTGTCATTTCCTATACAATGAAAATATCTAGACTAATTTATATTCACTTTTAATCCATGATTTTTCCCCACCTGTCCCTTTCCAGGATTCTCTTTTGGGATCAATAAGGATACCACCGTGCCATACTTCTGACATTCTTCTTTCATGTCCTCTATTATATCTAAGAAAGACAAGTAAATGTGACTGAGATCTGCTAAAAAAAAAAAAAAAGTGTATTTGCCATAAAGAAAATGTAGAGACAAAGACTCACCTTCATACTCATCCTCATTATACAGGTGACTGTCATCTATTACGTTTAGAAGTCTCAGGACAGATGTAGGCAGACTAACCAAATCTTCAATATGAGGTGCTGAAACCCAAAGGAGTCTCTCACTCACACAAAAACCAAGCAATGCAGACAATGCTTTTAGATGCTGAGTGATACAAACCAAAGGGAATGCTGAAGAAAGGGTTGATTAGTGCTGCCTCAGCTGTGCTTCTGAGTTTCGGGTCATTGTGAAGCATACTGGGAATGTAAAGATACATATTAATTCCTCTAGTCATGTCTAAAGAACACACAACTGCACTGCTTAGTTTTCTTCCTACCTTTTGATCAGATCCCTCAAATGATAGACAGGGATAGCCGGGTAAACCAAAGCATTGCTTGAAAAGATATGGTCTACTATTGCAGAACTGTTATCCTGTAGAGACACAACACATCATATTTTAGCAAGAACAATATTACGGTCAAAACACATTACATTACAAGCAAATTGTTATTAAAATAAATAACATTCGAGGTCTATATTCAAGGAAGAGTTCAGCTTCACAGCTGCTTTGGTATCTGCTGACCTTCCATTCCTGAGACTTCACAGTTTCTTTCAGTTTGATTCCTGAGAACATCTCCAGAAGAACGATACCCAGACTCCACATGTCCACAGCAGTTGTGCAGCCAGTGTCGCTCTGCAGACCTGCCTGGGCCAGTGTGTTCTGCAGCTCAGCTTCAGGTGCCCGGTATCCATCTGTCTGGATGTACTTCACATCCTGTGCAGAACAGACAAGAAACCCTGAGGCTCACTGATAAGACGCATTAATGCTAAACTAATACTACCATTCAAAAGTTTGCAGTCTTACAAGATTTTGTTCTTTTTTAAAGAAATGAATGCTTGCACAAAATTTAAAATGGGGGATCTTATGCTTTCAAAGCTAGATTGCTACTGCTAGCCTTTTCTAAATTGCCGACTCTACCTTTACTCAAATAATCCTGAAAAATAATTGTATCAGTTTCCAATATATATAAGGCAGCAGAATTTTATAGGGTTGAGACACCCAACATTCAACCCAGAAATAGTCATATGACCATTTCAATAATTCCGAAGCTATTCAGTTAAGGTAAAAAAAATAAATAAAAAAAAACTGCATAGTGCTGCTTTAAATTCTAAAACGACAGTAAATAAACCTCTCCAGAGAGGCTTTGACAAACATTTTGGATAAGACACAGATTGTGGCTTTTGTGTTAGTAATAATTAGTTAAGTTATTTCACAATATTACTGTTTTACTGCACATTGTAATAAATGCAGCCTTTGTGAGCAAAAGAGACTTGTTTCAAAAATATTTAAAAATCTTACCGACCCCAAACTTTTGAACTTTAGTGTTTGTTTGTGCATGTAAATAAATTCTGACACCAAATGATGAGGTGTCTCATGCCAACCATTCCAACTCCTCACCTGGTGTCCCTCTTTGAAGCTAAGGCCAAAGTCAATTAGCTTAAAGCACTCATCATCAGCGCTCCAGAGAATGTTGCGGGGCTTGAGGTCAGCATGTACATAGCCTTCTCCGTGCAGGAAGCTAAGGGCCTCCAAAACATCACGGGCACAGTGCTGAATCAACCACATGGAGTGACCCTGATTACTCGCCCTGACCAGCAAATCTGACACACTCACGTCCAAAAGCTCCAACAACAAGCAATGTGTGGCCACACCGAATGGGTTGTGATTGGTGAACATTCCATACAGCGCCACTAGAGACACAACAGAGAAAATACCAATGTTAAACTTGGGATTAATGATGGAAAATAACAGCTTTTGGATCTCCAGGAGTAGGGCTGTAAAATCTGACATAAAATGTTTATGTAATATATAGGCTATATATATATATATATATATATATATATAAACACAAACTTTTATGTTTGATGTGATTATTTGTGATTAATTGATTTTACAATTCAGGAGTCCTATCCAGATCTCATGATCACTATGGTAAATTATATTGCAATTTTACATTCAAGTTTTAAATGTCAGTGTGCTCCTCTTCTGAATTATTATTATATATGAATTATATATCTGAATTATATATATATATAATATGTTAATATATAATATGTCATGACCATATTAACTATAAAATTACATAACCAAGGAAATTAAACTTTGATCCCCGGTTTTACAGAGAGGGCTTAAGCTTTGTCCTGGACTAAGATGCATGTGCCGTTTTATATTTGTTTGATCTTTTTGCTCTTACAATTATTTAGATATAAATGTGCAGGATGAATGTCATCAATACTACAATTTGTGGAACAATCGTGGTGTTAAAAGGGCCCAAATAATGTTACGTCACAATTTTTGAAGGTTTTTACTTTGGTGTAATGGAGGGAAGGCACACAATATTTACTTCAAAGAACTGAACATAAGTCATAATTGTCATTTTGCATGATTTTAATAGCAATATAGTGGCATATAAAGCTGTTTAAATCAGTGGTTCCCAAACTTCCTTTGTTCAAGACAATATTCGAAATGCCCTCATTTCTATGATGATATGTACTTAATGGTACAGCTGTTGTAAAAATAATAATAATAAAAAAGTAATGTAATAAAAACTCAAAAATATGATGTCAGTTTTATGTTCGCATAAAACATGTATATTATTTATTTATTTATTTATTTCAAATTACAAATTATGTTAACGATAACTAAATGTAAATGATTTTGGGCGGCCTGGATATATTATGTGCAGAGCGTCCCCCGCCCCCCTGGTTGATAACCACTGGTTTAAATCTGTTTCTTAGCTGATATTGATCCCTGTACGTGGTTACCGATATTTTTATGTCCCTGAATCTTCTCCAGCACAGAGCTTTCCTTCAGGTACCCGTAATCTCCACCCTGCGCGTCCGCCTGAAACTCCTTCACTGCGGAACTCGCTCTGCCGGAGCTCACCCGGTACACTGAGGCCGAGACGCCCTGACCCAAACGAGCCTGCACGTTCCAGTTCTTTCCGTAAATCTCAAATAACGCCGGGCTCGTCAACTGATCCACGGCCCCCGGGCTCACCGTCGTCCCCGGTGTGCTGCCACTTGAACTGGACATTTTTGCATTGGAGCCAGAACTGCTAGCCATAAGTAACATCAATGATAATGTGAGTGAAATACTATCAGGTTCATAATAAGTAGTGTTTGCTTCATTAGTTGTCCTTTGCAGAAACTAAACTTTGCATTTTGCTTGTCTGAAAGCCAAAGTTTACAGCTGAGGACGTAACGTTAACTATAATCAACGGAACAATGACTTAAATGCACTATTTTAATGTAAACGCATAAATTGGTGCTATCTGCTGCAACATAGTCGCATCTTAAAGATCCGAAAAGCCGAGGTGGCGTCTCAGAGATTCAGCGAATCCACGAAACCCAGTTCTGGACCGAGTTGATCAATTTTTGCCACTGTTTTGGTGGCCATGATACCGGAAATGACGACATTGTTATTAAAAGCATAGATTAAAAGCCGTGTTTTCTTCTATGGTTTTCTACGGTCGACCAAATGTAAAATGTTGATCTTTAAATTATATATTTAAAATGTAGCGCATTTAAATCCATATAATATAGTGCTTTTTGTAAAGCGATTGTCTCTTTAATACACTCTATTAAATTAATGGATAATGTAGTCAATTTAAATATTAACATTTATTAATCCTCTTTCTCTCTCTCTCTCTCTTGGAATGATATTATAGTATTGTTGTTACGGATATAAAAAATTCCCCCTAATTATATGAATTAAAATAGTAAATTTGTATGATATTAAAATTAATCAATTCAATAAATAATTCCTTTTAAAATGACAAATCTAATCAAAAACGTAGGTTTATTCATGATTGCATCTGGGACTTTGGGCAAATATATGAAGCGATTAAATGAATAAAGACTGTAACAAAACTTTATTAAAAAAAATATCGTTGCGTTGTTAGTTCCGTTCCGCCCTTGACCTGATGAGATGAATGGCAACTCGCCCGTCTATTTCATAGACTGTAAAAAATAGGTCTATTTGATTTCGCGGGCTGCATAGAGACAGGGACATGAAATATAGGTGAAATATGGGTCGGGAAAAGTAGCGCGTTTCATTTCATGGTTTCATTTGACTAATTTGGAGTTTCCGTGTGTGTCCTGCCCCTGCCACGTCAGTCTGACGGATGTCGGAGGAGGATCCCATCCCGGCTAGTGAAGGAAGGCGGCGCTCTCAGGAGATGTAGCCGTGTCTTTAGTCTTACTACTGGAGTAAGAGGGAAGTATTGAATGATCAGCAGCTGCTCCAAAGGTAAGAATATTATGATGTTGTTAAATGAACCGTCATAAAACGTTTAGCAAAGCCTGGCTCGGCAGAGAGCTTAACTGTTGTCAAGGAGGCGGTCCACGCGACAGTGGCATTCCTCGAAACTCTATTACACACTCTACGTTACTATTAAATTACCAGTCTATCGATTTGTGTTTGAGGGCACAGATGGGCCAGATATGGGTGATTCTTACAGGCTATTACATCAGAATTCTATGGCGTTTTTTTATAAATGGCTATGAAAAATCTTGATACTTTTGGAGGCTTGGAGCTGGTTTGGTCTTAAATCAGGAACAGGTGATTGTGTCAATCTTTAATAAAACTTTATTATCTATCAAACTTAGTCTATGTTGTGTCCCTGCCCGTCAAAAATTATGTTGATCTTTGAGTAAAGGTAAAGATCACACCTGACCTTAGACTTAGCCTACCCTGAGTTTATTTGATTGAGCACGTACACAGAGTGGTTATCAATTTATTGGTGTGATAAAAGGGGTGGATCTACCTGGAGTTCTAGAGATCCTTAGATAATCAGTGTCACTTTTCTTTTGCCTCGGACTCGTCCAGATCTAACGGAGAGACCATGGACATCAGCAAACTGGCTAAGAGACTCGCTGAAGCTGGGCAGTCTCATGTCCTCCAGTTTTGGGATCAGCTGAGCCCTGAGGATCAAGCTGAGATTAGTGCCGATCTGGAGAGCATGAACTTCATGGAGATCAATAGCTTCTTTAAAACGGCCATGAAGACATCTGGGCAGAGCTCCCAGGAGAAAGTGGACACCAGGATGGAACCGGTGCCCCGGGAACATTTGGGAAGTGTAACTCGTGATCGTGAAAGTCTTAAAGAATGGGAAGAAGAGGGTGAGTTCAGATATTGTAATGTTTCACAGGACTTCATCTCAAACATACAAGTGCCCTTAGGTCCTTTGCTGGTTTATGTGGGTTTAACTGCTCTCTTAACCTTGCCAAACTGGTGTTTAGCAGGTCAACCAGTTGGTTTTCCAGCCTTGCCAAGAGACAATTGCCCCAAACCTGAGCAAAAAAGACCTACTTGGTCAGGCTGGGAGACCAGATACCTTTTTTTCCAGGCCATTTACAAAATCGAAGCAGGCTATGTTTCATTTAATATAACATGAATGTCAAAGTATGTTTTGTTAGTCTTTGTTGAACAGAAACAAATGTTGCTAAGAAATATTGCACAACAAAACAAAAAAAATTATGCAATATCTTCAATGCCAAATTGGACCCCCAAAGACATCATGACCCCTGAGAGATTTCTCTCCGTGGTAAAGCCAATCTGTAACAATAAGTTTCAGATTTGAATAAACTTTGTTTTGTCCCTCTACTCCATTTTTGGGAGGATGCTCCAAAAGGGGTTGAAAACATCTGGTTCTGGTTAGATCTTCTGATGCAATTTCTTTGCTGTTGAGCTCATTCAGAATCACATCATCTTTAATCTGACCACATTGTATTGTACCCAAAACCTTCTTTGTTCCTTCTGTCTTCTTTGTCCCGTTCATTTGAAAAAGAAAAAACATTTAATTCAATCATTTTTTTAACAATTCACACATGAAAGTTAAATTTGATCATGTTCAAGGCTGTGTGTGGGTGAAGTAACATCAAGTATCAAGGTAATTTATGTAAGATTAAGTGGGCCTCATAAAAGTCTAGAATAATCGCCCCTGTTATCTGCAATTATTGAAAAGCAAACTGTTGCTTAAGACGCCAGATATTTTATACAACCTCCATCTCTATTCTCTCCATTTTATTTTTGCAAAAGTAATTGAAGGGTTAGTTCACCCAAAAATGAAAATTCTGTCAGTATTTACTCACCCTCATGTTGTTCCAAACCTCTATGTTTTTATTTGTTCTGCTGAACACAAAGGAAGATATTTGGAAGATATTTGTCCTACTATGGTAGTCAATGGGGAATGAGATCTGTTTGATTAAAACTATCTTCCTTTGTGTATAGCAGAACAAATAAACACATAGAGGTTTGGAACAACATGAGGGTGAGTAAATACTGACAGAATTTTCATTTTTGGGTGAACTAACCCTTTGAGGCATTATATTTACATTAAGGACTCATGTAATGGCAAAAATGGCCTATTTGTGTTTATACCTTGAATAGTATGACTAACACCAATTTGCTAAAGTGACCGAAACTCCCATCATTCCACGCAGGCCTGCGCTGTATATCAGAGAACAAAGTGGCGGTTCTTCTGTTGGCTGGAGGTCAAGGGACACGCTTGGGTGTATCATTTCCCAAAGGCATGTATGACCTTGGCCTCCCTTCCCACAAAACCCTCTTTCAGATCCAGGCGGAACGCATCCGAAGACTGGAACAGCTCGCTGAAAAACAGCACTCAAGGAAGTGCTGCATTCCATGGTAAGATGATCATTAAACACAATTAAAGCTCATTCAGTTACAGTGCACTTACTGTATAAGCAGTGCATAATAGAAAAAAAAAATCTTTCATTTTCAATCTCACTGGAAAGGAATTTGAGTTAACAATTCTTGGATCTAATTACTTGGATTAGCTGACTTGTTTTGATCTTGAGGAAGTTTTCCTCCTTTTACCGTAATGAAGTGACCTCCCCACTATGAATGTCAGTGCATGGTTTAGTCGGTGTGAAATTGGGCTGACATGAGGCCAGCATGTCATCCTGAGGAATTTCGGTCTGAATTGACCTCTGACACAACACACACTCATGATGCCCTAATGATCAGCTCTAACTTTATTTAAAGATAATACTAAATGACTGTATGATCGCCATAGTCTTATGCCAACATACTTTAAAGAACGCCATAGACTTACCATTATTTTAGTATCCAAAATGTACCATATCCAAAAAAAACTTTTCGATCATGTTATTTAAAAACACATTGTGACACGTTTGCTTTTTGATTAAAATCTCCAGTTTGAACTTAATTTATACTATTCAATTCAATTCACATTTATTTGTATAGTGCTTTTCACAATACATATCGTTTCAAAGCTGCTTTACAGAAAATGTATGTTTCTACATTACAATTTAGAGTTATCTGTTATAATATATTATTCTAGTAATATTAATTTTAGCCAGAAACATGAGCGTTTTAAAGCAATTATTACAAGCTGTGATCATAAATTACCATATATTGAACATTTGGCAGGTGTATATGTTGATGTAAAAACTTCTGCTAAATTTTTTACTAAAATGTCTATTTCAAATAAATGCTGTTTACTCTTTTCATCAAAGAATCATGAACAAAAAATGTCATGGTTTCTACAAAGAAATTAACAGCACAAAAATGTTCAATTGTGACTATTTATTACTTGAGCAGCAAATCCACGGATGAAAAATGATTCGTGAAGGATCATTTGACACTGAATACTGGAGTAATGGCTGCTGAATATTCAGCTTTGCCATCACATGAATAAATAACATTTTAAATATATTGAAGTGGCCCTATTATGCTTTTATGAATTTTACTTTTCATGAGGGCTTTTCACACTGTGCGTAACCCCAGGGTATCGTCGTACTAAACACCGCTTCACACTTTTACGTGTGCTTTAACGTTTACACAACACTGTTTTCATCTAAAAGCTATTTGTGCGTTTTTACACAACAAAGGAGGTTTGGGGGGCCTTTTTTGGGGGGACAATTTGTGAAAACTTTGATGTCATGCACGTGTGTTACGGATTCAGTCAATAGGTACGTGAAAACTGTGAAGGAAAACTTTCCCATTTTAGTACATTGTTGTTGTGTAAATGTACCCTTAAATGGGGAGTTACCGCTGCTTTTAACCTGGGTTTTTCCGTGTTAACCCTGCCTTGCATTGCGGTGCCAAATTTGCACAGGGTGAAATGATGCGGTGTTCGAATGTTACAACAACAGACACTCAATCACATTCTTACATTTACGTGCTTTGGACGTCACAGAAACACTCTGCACATTGTATATAAACAATGTATTATTAAACAACGTTTTTGCATAATAAGGGCACTTTAAAATTGAAAAGTTAGTTTGTAATTATTTTGCAATATTACTGTTTTTACTGTACTGTTTTATTTTTGGTCAAGTAAATGCAGACTTCTTTCAAAAACAAACTTTTGGACAGTCATGAATTCATACTTTAAGCAATGACAT